CACAAGTCATACACAAAGACCTGACCCAAGCAATCCAAGAAATTAGCATAACAATTTCCTGAGGTTGGTTAGAAAAACCAAGCTTATAAAACCAGTTCTAACTGTGTTTGAGTTTTGTCACTTTTCAGTGCATTCTTCATCAACAAAAAAGTTTTAAATAATAAATTTTAAGTGGCTGAACACAAAGTTACTGGAGCTGATTTCTACTGTGTCCTTGGACTGTAGGGCATACATTTTTTCTTGCAGATTTGATGCTGTCTATGGTGCCAAACTATTGTTTTTAACGAATTATTTCTGTAAATTTCTGGCAAATCCATAACAAATCTGTAAGATTTCTGGCAAATGCTGTTGTCTCAAGCAGTCCTGCTTGTTACACGTGATCCTTCAAAGCTCTTCAGTGTTCTGTAATTCTACTTAATCTCCTTTCAAACTCAACATTAAGATAGAGGTTAGTTAAATGCAAGAAGATTTCATTTTCAATGTGAATTACAAAATATGGTAAGATACTTCTCCAATAAATCAAAGTGCTCATGTATGTTTAAATTGTGGTGATATAAACAAGTGCTAAAAAACTTCACAGCACACGGTTAAAGTTTGTTCTGCAACCTTTTGAATTCCCTGTGCTTTCAATACATTCTCAGAAATAAGAGATTATCTTTTTGGGAAATTCCTATTTGTCTGAATTTTACCTTTTTGACTAGAAATGATGAAAAATCCGATTTTTGACCTTGAAAATGGGGGTTGACTTATACACGAGTTTGACTTATACACAAGTAAATACAGTAATTGGTAACAGGACTTCGTGTCATCCAATTCTGTCTGCAATCATATTCATGATTGACAAATTGGACTCCTGCTTTGTGGCCATCCAATTTTGTTAATCACTGGTATGATTACAGACCAAATTGGACTCCACTCGGTGCTATTACCATTATTAATTGTTTAACTCCCACAGTGGTTACTCCTAAATGCCCAGAAATCAATTCACCAAATGCCATTTAAACCCATAACACCCTTACATCACTTTGCATATTCTCTGTACTGTTCCCTATACATTTCCTTCAGTAATGACAAGTAATCATTTCTTCAATTCTCATTACCCTAATGTTTAATTCAGCAGTGATAATGCAAGGAGAAATTAAACATTAGAGAGGGGCTTGAAAAGGTCAGGATAGCACTGTTGATAAATCATGAAACATGATATCACCTTTCCACAGCTTGTGAGAGCTACAGTATGCATTCCTCCACATTCCACTTGCACAATTTCCAGATTATCAAGTCCTTTCACAATGGCTGGTTTCTTTCTTTCCAAGATTTCTTCACCCAAACCCAACTGCCCCACATCACCCTGCCCAAGTGTCAAGACATGCCCAGTTTCTCTAAGGTCAACACTTGCAGCTTCTGTAATAAAACAGAGTTATTGCTCAAACAATAATAACTTTAATATCCGTGATCAAAAACAGAAAAAGATCTTAAGCTCTCTATATAAGATGGTTTAAAGAAAACCAAGGCTCTATTGTATGATTCAGTATACAGTACTGTTTCTCATACTTAAAAAAAATATACATTTTTGCCAAGCATGAAATTTTGGATCTTGTTTACTGTTGGTACTCTCGACCGATACATCGGTCGCCTGTTGATCAATACTCAGTCAACAGTTGGTCGATATAGCTTTTAGTTCACTGATACTTTGCGGATACTTCACCAATACCTTGCTGACAATTCACTGAGTATTGGTTGATAGTTGATAGACTCTCGGTCGATGGTCAACACACAGTCCACAGACTACTTGAGTAACACTACTTGACTAACACACACACACTAACTTGTTTCACATTCTTCCCTATGGATTTTTGAGCAAAAGAGAGACTGCTTGTCTAGCCCCACACCGAAACATTTTCCCCCATCACATGATAGCATTAGTTGATGACATCATTGCTTAAAAAGGAAGCCATTGGACTGCTTTATTACACCCATTTTGAAATCACTGGTGGTCCCTGTAATCTGATTGGCTCTAACTGATGCGATTTATTAATGAATTGCAGCATTTTTTGCTTTGATCACATCTTTTTCCCAGCCTATGAGGAGGCTACACTAAAAACAAAATAACCAATCAGATTTTAAGGCTTGTTTAACGTAACTGATCAAATTGCAGGAAAATGAAAAACAAACAGTATCATGTGGCAAATTTTGCAACTTTTGTTTCTTAACTCTTACTTTTTCCCCCCCAAAAAAATGGACATGAATTTAATTTCAGACCGGCTCAGTACTGCATCTATAAAACATTTGAACTGACCAAGTCCTGTACTTAGGTTATTTCAAAATGGATGTAATAAACTGGTAATTGAACCTTGTGTCATGCAATTTTGGTCTGAAATCATACTTGTGATTTCAAATTGAACTCATGCTGTGTGCTAATTTGAATTTGAAATCACATGTATAATTTCAGCCCAAATTACACTCCACTCAATACAATTACTATTATGAATTAACACACTTGATTCATACTCAACACTGATATTCGACCGACAACCGACCGATATACCACCCACAGTTGGTATATTGACTGACACTCGGCCGATAGTTGGTCGCTATATTGACTAACTATTGACCGACTATCGACCGACTGTCGACCGACTATCGACCGACTATCGGCCAACTGTCGACCGACTGTCGACCGACTGTCAACTGACTGTCGACCGACATATCGGTCGAGTATCGACCAACTCTCGACCGATATATCGACCGCTATATCGGTCACGAGTACCTAAAGTGAACATGATCCGAAATCTTTATGCTGTGTAAGCTTTAAAAATGCAAAGCAATTTGAATTCAGTTATTTAAATTCCAACAGATGATATGTAGTTAGCTCTACAGGTCAAAGAAGCATCAAATTAACGAAACCAGGAACAGACAAAGGTTGATCCTGGCAACACAAGTAATAGTAGCACGTTTAGTAAGAAATGCTGACCTCGCTTCTCTTTCTTCTTGTTGACTGCTTCTTTCGCCGGCTCCTCTGCCTTTCTTTTGCTTATCTGGCGTTTCCTTGCAGGCATTCTTGGTTGTTATTTTCGTTCGCCCAAACAGAGCCAAGGTAACAGAGAAACAGCAAAAAGGCTCTGAACTTTCAGCAATTCAAATGGCTACGTTGAGTTCACCTCGTGCTAATGCGCGCGCATAGAAGGCGGGAGATTTGAAAGTCTCGTGGGACGATGTCGGGACTCCTTCGGGATAGTTTCGGGACCTTGTCGTCAGTTTCGGCAGGTTTGGTGATCTCAAAGCTTGTAACTTTTTTATGCTATTGACATGATTTCTTATTTTTTTTAACACTACGTCTAGAAGTCGTCCGAAAAAAATACATTACAGAGTTATCTATCAATGAAAATCTTGCTTGTTGCTCTGTTGGAATATATGCATATTCGTCTTTATTTTCTCATCCTGTGTATACAGCATTTGACTTCAAATTATCAAGTTATCTTTTTTCATCCCCCCAAAAATATATTTTTTTTGTCCAATTTTTTGTTCGGATTTCGAATCAACAGGATACACCCGCCCCATCCCGGTAAGTAAATATTTTGACAACGTAACACATGCGCAGATCTGTAACCATCTGGAAGTGGAAATGAACATGGCTGCCGCGTCATGAATGAACTTCGAGAGGTTACTGGTGATACTTTCTCCAATTTCATCTCGATGTGTGGGACACAAATATGTTCCATAAAGGGAGAGCCCATCCGGATATCAAGAAAACTACGCAAAGATTTATAGATCCCAAAAAGGAAAGCCAAAGTCGGCTACGGGCTTTACGAACTCTGTTAGGTGCGAGCGATCTTTCATCCTGCAAACTGGTGAAAATTTCTAATACTGCTTTAGATCTGCATGCATAGCGTCATTCAATTAATTTACGTTTGCAATTTTCCCTCAGATTACTCTGATCCGTCTGACTCGAGGATATTTTTCAAAAGCCATTACTCGGAAATATTCTACGTATTTCACGATGTATTTTCCATGGTTGAGACGAACCTCAAGACTAAAGGTCAGTATTTTTGAAAGAAATTTCACCAGACTTGTCCTTTTGTGTAGATATTGGACACAATATTACAGCGGTGTGCCTGAGAGTCCTGCAATTGGTCAAGATGAATGTTTTGGTTATTAGAGCTCGTAGGTAGAGTCGAGTTGCAAACGACTAATTAGACTGTCAGTTTTGTGACCGTGTAAATGTAGAGCACAACCTTCTCGTTTTTCTGTTTATTTTTTTAGGCCACAAATCGCAAGCGGGAGACCTCGATTCGGTTCTCTTCATTTTAGAGGTACGACGGAGGGATTCTTAACATATTTGTCACTAGCTTAAATTTGTTCATGATAACGTTTATGTATTTATGAATCACAGCAATGTAATTCTAGCGATGCCGAGCTTTCAGAATGTTTCATTAAGTTTGTGATAAACATAAGCTTGTTTATGGTTTGCCTGCAACTGATATCAAAATGCTTACAGTCAAGTTCGTTTTCATGTTGCCTTGAAGTAATGGCTTATTTTTATTATTATTGAACAGAGAATACTGCGCTATCTTCCCGAGTTAATTCAAAAGCGATGGCAGTTCAACAGTATTGGTAAATATGCTGATTTGTTTGACGTTGATACAAAATTAAACTTTGAAATCCATAACATTATATTTTCAGTAGGTCTCTAAACGCCAAATAAAAAATTCAATCAGCCATATGTCCATTTAGTCCGAAATTCCGCAGTGATTTAAGTAATCCTATTATATCTTTTGTTTACATTTCCTCTAATTAGTATAGCTCTAATTTACTATTGACAGCTTTCCTCCTACCCAAGGAGAGGTGATAATTAGGTTCTTTTTTTTTTGGAAAAAAATTTGAATTCATATCCTGTCTAAAAATCTATAGCTTTACCATGGTGAGACTTAAACAAAGAGAATTTCACTGTCTTCTTCCAGTTTAGGCCATGGAAACTAGATAAGCCAACAATTTTCATTGTAGAAAATCTCTATTGATCAGCTAAATGTACTTTGCTGGTGTTTATTACTTGTATTAAAGCTTGACTCACTCAGAATCCTGTCAAGCTGTTTGATAAACACCTCAAATTGATTTGGAGAAGCCTACATTTTTAGCAGCAGTGATGTTAAAAGTGGACCGAGACTCCATATATCATTTACATGTTTGTTAATGTTGATAATGTAACATAGCTGCTTTGGAAAGACAGGAAGAACCTATGTTCTTGCCTTGTATGAATTATGATAATTTATTTTCTGGCCTTTAATTTCCACATAGCACGTGTAATGCGAAAGCTTCTTCATCGTGGAAATGTCCTAAAGGTGAGATGTTACTCACATCTTTTAAATATATTGCTCTTATTGGAAGGGGAAGTCATTAGTTTAACTTTCAATAAAACATAGGCTGTTACAAGGTTTCTGGGTCTGTGGCATTCTTTATCTCAAAATGATATTTGAGCATTTTATTTCCATATTGGCATCCTCACCCTGGCCTTTTACTCCTTGATCCTTCCTCCTCCCTTCCTTCCCCCTTTCCTCTCTCTTTCCTCCCCTTCCTCTCTCGTTCCTCTCCCCTTCCTCCCCCCTTCCTCTCTCCTTCCTCCCCCTTCCTCCCCCTTCCTCCCCTTCCTCTCTTCTTCCTCCCCTTCCTCTCTCCTTCCCCCCTTTCATCTCTTCTTCCTCCCCCATCGTCTCTTCTTCCTCCCCTTCCTCTCTCCTTCTTCCTCCCCCTTCCTCTCTCCTTCCTCCCCCCTTCCTCCCCCCTTCCTCCCCCCTTCCTCCCCCTTCCTGCAAGAATGTTATGCTGTTATCATCTGTATTTTGGAGTACTTAAGGTGAAAATCACATCAGAATAACCCTTGCCAGAACCAGTCTGTCACACTAAGCTGTATTGCATTATGAGAACAGAAATGTAATGACTTTTAGGGGGTTTTGTGGTTGCTGTGATGGCCTAACCATAAGTTTACCGAACTCCAGGTCAAGAGGTCTGGGTTCAAGACCTAGCCAGGTCATTATGTTGTATTCTTGAGTGAGACACTTTACTCTGATGGCACCTCTTTCTACTGAAGAGTGTAAATGGGTGGTGGCAAGTTGTCAGGGAAGCCTGATGAAATGCTGGGAGGTAACCGATTTTCCCTTTTAAAGCACTTCTCTCCTGTTTGTCTCAACAGCTACGGCGGGAGGGTGTTCGTCTGTTCATGCTGTGGTTCCAAGCATTACAGGACAACTCAGATGAATTGTGTCAGCTTATCTATGCATGTTTGATTCCTGGTTTTCCAAATCCTGTCAATGGTCTTGACTGGAGCAAGAACAAGCTATCCAAAGCTTGTGCTGAGGAAATATATCTGTCAATTGGTGACATGGCATCCAGGGATCTGCTTTCTTCAACTAGCAACATGCATTTGTTATCTGCTGATGGAGAGAGTGAAGGTCAGTCAAAGAAATGTATTATTGACTTACAGAATATATTCAAAGACTTATACACTTTAGTAAGGAAGACAATGTTAATAATGGTCATTTAATGCTTTTTTATAAGCCATACTCCTGTAGAGTTCTTTAAAACCCCCAATTTCGAAGTCCTTGCCTAAGGTTTGGTTGGGTAAAATTGATGTCTTAGACCTGCAGATGTTATGAATGATTTAATTATTGCTGATTCCGTCATTAATAGCAAGCGTTCTCTAGTATCCTTTACACATTGCTGCACAGACCATAAATAAATATTTTTACAGTAAGCATATGGTGGAATTCCTATTTATGGAAGGTACAACATTTGTAGAAATCAGCAACCGTTGATTTATATGTATATATAATAGGATGACAGTGTAAGTTCACAGAAACCCAACCCATAACTCTCTTTCATCTCTTTCATCTCTTTCATCTCTTTCATCTCTTTCATCTCTTTCATCTCTTTCATCTCTTTCATCTCTTTCATCTCTTTCATCTCTTTCATCTCTTTCATCTCTTTCATTTTAAGACTGGTGCTTCTCAGATGAGGTAGGACCAGTCCTTCCAGCAAATCCAAGTGAAAGGATACTTCCACCAGAGACACTGACAAAGTTCTTCCTGGACAGAGTGTTGGACTGTATGAGTACACAGGTACATTTTGAGGACTTCATTAGTACTGCGTTGGGCATTACTGCTGCAGTTGATCTCAGACATAAATGTGTCAACTAATCCTAGATTGTTCATGTGTGTTTGTACTAACTTCATTATTTTTTTTATATTTAGCTTGTCCAGATTGAGTGGACCGACAGGAGAAGCAGGGAGCATGCATTCTATTTCTTGTTTGAAAACTTCAAAAGATTCTATCTGCCACACATCTTTCAGGACTGGAATCCTTCAAGATTGCTCTACCAATCCAACCCTGGTTAGGAGATAGTACATTCACCTTAGCGCTTCTCATTTTGTTATGAAAGAGTGCTTTCTACAATTACCAGCCAATCAGTTGATTGATTGATTGAATAAATAATTGGATGATTATTACTAGATTGACAGCTCACCAGTCAGCTGACTGATTGTTCAACTGCTTTACAGAAGAAGCCAAAACTGAGATCCAACTTTGCTAACTTTTATTTTTTTGTCTTCCGTTTAGCTGCACAAGTTCCTTGCAGTAGACCTAAGAAGAGTGAGTCTAAAATGTCGATGACCAGTGCAAGGGACTCAGTTTTACGATGGTTTGTGGCCTTCACAGTCAGATTTAAGAGAAGTAACAGCACCTCAGAATCATTGTTAGCTGTCAATCAATCAGAAGTGTCATCAACATCAACAGAGAGTATTGAGCCAGGCTCCCCTGATTCAGTCAAATTCAGTCTAGCACGTAACAGAGAATACTTACAGGATGCTAGTGAAGTGATAAGAAAGGTTTTGTACTCCACCAAGGCAAACATCAGGCTTCTTCATGAGGTCTTGCGTCAGGTACATTAAATAACCCAATCACTAACAAAACCAGTTATAACTGTAGGTGCGTAACACATACATTGTAATCCTTTGAGTGTGACAGGCATCTAATTTCTCCTTACAAGATCTCCCCTGAATCACATATCAAGGTCAGGAGAATTGAGGAAATGATCACAAACTGAAGAGGACCTTGATTGTTAAACAGTTTTCCAAATCAGCTGCTCAAGAGATGTGTAGAGAAC